CAATGGAAATAACTGCCCTGGATCAGATCTTCACTATATACGCAGTAATTTTTTCGGATAATTAATTTGAACACCATACAATTCGTGTAGGTGAGGTCAAAACTTGTGTATTCCTTGCTGGTGAGTCTACTTATTCATTACACCACAGCGTATTTCCTTGTTCTTCAGTACGAATGTGTTAACGATTTGCCGAAAATTTTGCTTTTCATGGTTCTCGAATCGCGGCAGAGGGCTCAGCCAGTTTTTAAGAGCTCAGGGAGACCGCCTTGCAACTCGCCCACGTCAAAATCACTTGCAACCAGGGTCGGTCCTATCGTTGGTACTTTTTGCAAAATTTTTACGACCTCCCCCTCCAACCTAAACCAAGTACGACCCCCCGTTGGTACTTGTACCAACGTAGGGTTGACCCTGCTTGCAACGTCGTCTCGTCCCCCGACAAGGTTGCTAAAAATATCCGCCCAGAAAAAAGCAACTTGATAAATGCTAAATAGCAGAAGGATTCTAATACCGTTGGCTAGTTCCCAGCGGTTTTTCATATCACCGCCCAGAATCGAACTTTTGAGTTAAAAATTTCACGAACAAGCCACCTTTTAAGAGCATAACGCAGATGTGTTATTCCCTTTCTAGAGCACTTTTTCGCGTGCTGCAATAGCGCACCACCGACATCAGAGAGAAAGCTCTAGCGATTAGTAATGTAGGTCTTATTTGAAAGCCATCGACTTTATAGGAATCAAGGATGGAAGTCGAAATGCAGCCACTCGATACCCGAACGGTCCCGCACCCATCCGAGTGGTAGCATGCACTCGGGCTAAAATTCGAGTGCTCGGCGGACACAATGTAGCCTGCGCAAGAATGTGCCGTTGGATCTCATCAATAATTAGGGAGTTACCCTGGCTAGAATAAGCATCTGGACCCCTTCCAATCGTTTCTAATCCCAAAGGCACAACCCAGGCAGAAGTTGTATAAACAATTCCCTCCGATCTGTAGGATAGACCCAGAGGACAATCACAGATGTGGCATTCCCGTGCACGGAAATCACCCGACAAGAGCGCTAGGGCCTTGCAAAGTAAGCTGCAGCAGCTGCAATTTTTTTCTTTATCAGGCTGTTGTCTGGCGCCCTCTCATCTGTTGCGCTCTCGCCTCATACTCTCCTCTCCGCGCTTAGTCTCTCATTCCCTTAGCACAGCCGATTAGGAAGGTGAGTGAGCCCTTAACCTAAGCGTTTTGACGGATTCTTTTCCTTTTTTCCTTGCCGGCCCACTTTGCACCAGTACATTGACATTCGTGTGCTAGAGCCACACTAATTTGATCCTGGGGCATGCCTTTAACTAAGGCATGAGCACAGATAAAAACGGTTTCAACATGAGACCAAGCGCTACTTTCAGTGGTTTCCTGATTTCCTTATAAACGTTCGAAAATGAAATATTGAACGAAGATCAGAATATAAATCATTGTAGATCAAAATACAATATAAACCATTCGGAAAACGTGGAAAAAATCAAACGAAAATTACAAAAAGATTGCTCACTAGTGGTCGTGCCATTCATGCCAATTATACATCGCGACCCGTTGGCGATCTCCCTTTGGTTGAAGGGTCGAACGCGTACGGCGACCTTTACCGACGACATATCACGCGGTACCGTAACCAACGGATACTGTAGAGTTGCTGCTGCGGACGGCGGCGCGAATCAATCGACCGCCGGCTCCATGTAATCAAATCGTGGCGGTGAAAACTGCAAAAGGAAGGCGCATAATGAGAGAAATATCGCATATGACGAAATTCATGACGAGAACAGCTTCGTGCACGATGAACGGACGCGTAGGAAAGAGAAACATGGCAAATAAAGCTGGATACTACG